TTCAATCGGAACCAGCTTCTTAGATTACAAACATTATATTTCAATGCATTGGGGTTGAAAAGCACTTGGATGTGTAAACACATTTTTTTCTAACTAATAGTGTATCACCTTTTTTTGCATTTCAGAGAGCCAAACATCAAAGTGAAAAATCAGTAACATTTTTTATACTGTCCAGTTTTGGTGGCAGAGGGCACAACCTGACCTGTTTTGATGCTTGTGCTAACCACTAGATGGCATTCAAATAACAGACATTGATTCCCATTGTTTTAATGAGAGTCAGTACAATTAACAAAAGACTGTATCAGCTTGAAATTGTAAAGCAGCCCTGATAGATTTTTCATCCTGCGCTTGTAAAAAGAAGCAGTTTAAACAAATAATACTCTGTGATCAATATGCAAAACTAGTTTTCTTTTGTTGATATTAATTGACTTGCTGCAGATTTTCAGCTTTTCCATTTCGGTGGCAATTCACTATATTCCTTACTTAGATGTTACTCACAGCCTGCCATTTTATCTTTGCAACACAGAAGTCAATTGCTTCTTTATTGACTTAACTTTGCTCTTTCCATGAGTCAGATCCACTCTCAGTCCGGCAGAATGTAATTGAAAGCTATCAGGGCCATAAATAGCCCTAATCAATTCTCTAATCTTCCTCTTGTATCTATGATCTAACTTATTAATTGCTCGATAAACTTTTCACTTCATTAGATATCAGTCTTAGATTCCTTCCTGATCTTACATATTGAGATATTCTCGAGTGAGGAGATCATGCTATATTTTTGATGCATTGAAAAAGCACTTGAGTGGGAAAAACAGTGTAAATGGTGTGAGTGCTGAAAAGAGTGTCTAAGGAAAACAAAGTGCATCTCACACAGGGAGCTCTATGTACATAATACCAACTAAGCTCCGAATTTGGGTATGTACCTGTATTATTGTAAAGTGTAACACTTAGTTTGTAGCAGATTTAGGTGTTTAGGCCAATGCTTGCCACATACAATGCTTTTCCTGAACATTTGAATAATTATGTCAGTATAGTAAAGCAGAGTTTTCCTTCCTGATAGAAATAAACCAGGTTAGTTTTCTTTATTCCCCAGGTTACAGGTCACAAGATACTATTTCATGTACTTTGTTGTCTTTTGCTACTCCTGAATTGAACTTCCTGCAGGATGCTGTGGCATGTTTCAAAATGAGTTCATTTGGGACCTGGAATCCTATTCCTAGACCTGATTAAAAAATTCCATGGTAAATCAATGTATTTTAAACTCCAGTGGACAAGTACCTTCTTGCGTGTGACTGTTCACCAGAAAGAGAACAATTGGGCTTGCAAAGCTTCTTTTAATTCCTGACTTGACCTCAGCAGTATTATAAAAGGGGCACGTCCAGGATAATTGTTCCAATTCTGATGAAGGGTCAGACAAGAAACATTAACCTCCTTCACTCTTTGACATGCCAATCAACCTTTGTTGTATTTCCATGATTTCCTCCTACTGTTTCAGATTTCCAGCACTGGTCGCTGTGCTCTGACAATATGGAGTCCTGTGGAGTCCTGTAGCTCAGTGGTTAGAGCACTCGCTTTGCAAGTGAGAGACCTAAGTTCAATTCCAGGCACAGGGCGAAACCTTGGGCAAGTTTCCTTACTCCATACGCCTCATAATAATCCCTCCAAAACCAAAAACAATAATAAATTGTTCATTTTCAATCTGCGACTGTTTGTGGGACATTGCTATGCGCAATTGGCTGCCGCGTTCGCCCACAAATATACAGTCAATTCACTTTACAGTGTGTTCTGTGAAGTGCTTTGGGACGTCCTCCCGACGTGAAAAGCGCTATATCAAATGCAAGGATTATTATTATTATTATTATAACATGCCTCTTTATTCATATGTTAACACTTTGCTAACAGAGCACACACCACAACACTAAGGACTGATCCTGGGTCCCCTTGGTCTGCATGGCCCTCTGAACACTGGATAAACCTGCTGAGGCATCAGTGAACTTCGATGATTTATTGTTTATAAATCATCATTTTAACAGTGTAGCCTGGTCCCATTGGTGGGGGAAACTGACTCAGAAGAACTACTCAATGTGGAAAGTAAATTAACATTGATAAAACCATAAACCCAGGGATGTTTGAACTTCCGCCCTGGGCAGGGAAATTCAACTGTCTTTCAATATCAGGTTCAGTAAATCCTACATCTTCTGAGCCAGATTCCTCCATTAATGCCTCCAATGCTAACAGTTTAAACAAGATTCTAAAAAGATATGAATAAACAAGAGAGTGTGGAGTTAATCACGGTGGTTTGTAGCTGTTGAAAATTTAAAAGGATTGCTTTTTCTGAGCAATGTATCTATGATGTTGCTGGATTGCTGCTGTGCATCTTCGGAGATTAATGCTTAATTTATATTATAAAACTGCTGGAAGCAGCGATTCACTAACATAGTGTGGGGCTCTCGGTGCTGTGGAATCGTCTTTGCTTATATTGCTGGTCAGATTCCACAGCAACTGAACAGAAGAACAATAGTCCACATCACTCGTTTGCTGTGGTTTTGTTCTGCACCTTCTTCCAATGGGGAATCCCTGAAGACCAGAGTGTGAAAAAGCCAGTTGTTGGGCTGAGCTGACACCACTTGCCAAAGGGCAGAACGGAGGCTGTACTGTCTTGAGAAAGCATGGATGAGGGGTCCAAGCAATAAAACACCTATTCAGAAGGGTCTCAATGCCTTCAGAGCTAACAGTGCCATCTCATTTACCGTACAATGCTGCTGCCAAAGTCAGAGGTGCCAATGGATTCAGCAGCATTGTAAGCTAAAAGCAGAATCAATGTACCAGCTAATCGAGAGAGACAGATCGTCCTATGTGGATGAACAAACACTCCAAGGTTGGCAGTCTCATCTTGCTTCCCAGGACTCATTCTACCTCAATAAGAAGCAACCAGCTGTTCCATTCCCTGAAACAAATACAAATTCCAGGCGCTCTTCCATTGACAGGCTATCATCAGTTAGAATTCACTGGAGTCTTGAAACTCAATAAATAATTCTTTTCACTGCAAAGAGTTTTGTTATTTGTATTATTTTTTCATAGTCTTTGCAATTGATAGAGCACCTTTAACATCAAAATTTCTCAAAGCACTTAACCGGCATTTGCTATCAACTGTAGTGTTCACCCACAAAACACAGTCACTACACTTTACAGTACTGTATATCCTGAGAACTGCTTTCAGACGTCCTCCTGATCTGAAGGGTGCTAGATTGAATTCTGAACTCCCCAAGCCCAAACAATATTTTAGGTTCTTTTTTACTAACGAAAATACATTCTGCCTGCTCGCTTAAAGAGCTCCTAGCAACCTGATGAAGTGTAGCATTGGTGGAAGCCTTTGAGCACATGAATATATAATAATCCTGCTTTTGATATAACACTTTATCACATTGTTGAGATGTCTCAAAGTGCGTCACAGGATATACAACAACAAGTTACATTTGTATAGTGCCTTTGATGTTGGGAGGATGGTCCAAGGTGCTGGACAGTCAGGGATTTGGGTCCGAGCAGGGGGTTGGATTCAGGAGGGGTGGAGGTCATGGACGGTAGGGGTAGGAGAGTGACCGAAAGTACGGTCGAAGAGGAGGGTCTTGAGACGTGCTGTGAAAGAGGTAAGGGAGGGAGCAAGGTGAAGGGACTGTGGGATGGACTTCCAAAGGTGGGGGCAGAGCGGCTGAAGGCCTGACCGTTGATGGTGTGGTGGGCCGGGCAGAGAATGTGGAACAGGCCAGAGCATGGCCCATCTTCCTTCTGAGCTACAGAACGTGGCTCATGGAGTCCTAAGACTCAGTTATGCCACAAACATGATAATAAACTACTATGTCTGCAGAACAGTGATGTGAGTCAACAGCCTTGATTTATACAGCCAGTTCTATATTGAACTCTGCCTGAGTAAATTTTACACAAAGAGGAACTCTGTAAAAAAAAACACAGATGCATAATTCTGATACTTGAGATTAGACTTTGGTATTTTATTAATATCACAAATCTTAAGGCCCAAGAAAGTTTAAAGAGAAGAAATAATTTTTTATACTCCCTTATTGCACTGAAACATTTCAGAGGACATGTCCATTTTTAGGCACATTTACCCACAAAATATACAGTCAGTGCACTGAAGCGCTTTGGAAATTCTGAAAGGTGATATACCAAACGTAAGGATTATTATCATTATCAAAAAGCTTTACAAGTGATTCCTGCAAATGTAATGACTGGTTTTCCTTCATTTAAAGTTTCCCGACCCTGACTGTCCAACGCCTTGGGACATCCTCCTGACATGAAAGGAGCTTTATATTTTTGTTGTTATTGTTGTTTAAATCAAGTTCTTTAAATGATGATGTAACAAACAAATCTGAATTTAGGTAAAATTGATTCAAGCTCTGGCAACTGAAAATACATTCTTGCAAAAACCAGTGAAAATCATTAAAAGGCATTTGAGTAGAAACAGGGCTTGAGTTTCAAATAGCCTTTATGAACTTATTTGGCGATTTTCTTCCCTGACTGTAATAAATAAATAATCCTTGCATTTGACATAGAACTTTTCACATTGGGAGGACGTCTCAAAGCTCTTCACAGGACCCATTGCAAATTATATGGCTGTGCACTCTGTAGGTGAACGCAGGTTGTCCCCTTGCCTTTGCAATGTTCTGTTCCTGTCTTGTCAAGGAGCCAGAAAGCAAAAGAAGTATTTTAGTTATTCTACAAAGTATCACTTTTAAATCAATCTAAAAAAATCCTGTATCTCTGGATTCCTCAATGAGAAGCATTCAAAATTGGACACAAAAATATGTTGGTGGGCACAAATCCATAAATACATAACGTACAATAACTCCCAGCAATGTTGTGCAAAATTATATTTTTGAGAATAAATATAGTGCTCATATAGGACAAATAATTCCCATGATAAAGCCTCAATGGTGTCTAAACGATGCAGTCATCTTGTACTCTGACATGACAGTAGACCTTACCGAACAGAGATTCTGGCAGCATCAGGATCGTGTGCTGTCACTACGCCTATTACAGTCCCCACATCAATGTCTTCATACACCTCTGTTATGTAGAGGAGCCTGCTGAACATTGGAGGCTCATTCACATCCTGCACTGTGATTCTCACAGTGGCTGTGTCTTTGTAGGGGCCCAGATACAGGAATCGAGGATCAAGACGACTGTTCACAGCTTCCACCTTTAAGATGTAGCTCTTCTTGCTCTCATAATCTAGTACCTGAGTTGGAAGAACAAAGTTTCAGTGATGTGATGGCAGTACTACATGTATAAACCTGAAAGGAATGAAAGTTAACGATTGTCTGTGAACGCACCTTTCTCACAGTAACAACACCCTCCTGTGTGGTCTTGTCTGTGCTGATGTTAAACATGTTGATCCCATCACCATCGATGATGCGGTAATTCACCTCTGCGTTTTCCCCGATGTCTGCATCATAAGCCTTTATTCTGCCAACCACAGCACCCTCAAGGGCAGACTCCTGCACACTTAGTTGGTAAGTACCTGCAGAAACAAAGAAATCTTTCTTAGCCAGTGTTAGCCCTTTCACTGGGCTATTTTTAAACATGCTCCAACATATCTGTACAAGCTAGGATGAAGATTAAATGAATAAGCTAACTAGAAGAGTGGTTAGTAAATTGAATTGGGATATTTTGGGACATTCACTCGACATGAAAGGCGACATAAATGTAAATTTGCATTATATTGTAATTCTCAGTCAAACCATAGTTGAATCAGAGTCCATTTATGCTTTTAAAAAGCAGATAAATGTTTGCAAAAGAGGAATATTAAAGTGCATGGGGAGTGAGTGGGTTAGATTAGATAGCTCCTGCGGAGGAAAACACCAGCATTGACTTTACTGGGCCGAATGATATGTTGCTGGGCTGTATCATTACAGGTGGTGTATCAGTTGGATGCTGTCTGAGGGATTATTGACCCTGTCAGCACATACCCAATTGCTTAATTTTCAGCAGATACAATTACTAGCTCAGTTTGAAATACCAATGAAAAGTGGTCAATATTAACCCTTATGCTGCTGGCAGAGTTACTGAGATGTCTGGCTCTGTGAGCTGACTTATTTGGATTTCAGTTCAGACTGACTCTGAAAATGAATTTTAGTAATAAACTAATCAAACGGGACAGCCTTATTAATATATTAATGCTAAACTACTAATATAAGAAAGTAACTGTGTTGAAAAATATCACCTTCTGTTGTCACTTGTTCCTTTTTTCCTGCATTAATCTCTCACTATTCCATTTTTTAATCTTAAATTTATTTTTATTGTATCATACTTCTTAATCTACTCGTATTGTATCTTCAAAATGCATTGTTTTGCTGCTTTATCCCTATTATTTAGAAACTTTCAGTGTTTATTCTGGAGCGATGAGATCAAATGGATGGAAGGGCCTTCTTCCATCCACACTAATCTTGTCATCTTGTGAGTTCCTGTAACCATTGTTTGTTTCACCAACAAAATATACAGTCAATTCACTTTACAGTATATTCTATGAAGCGCTTTGAGATGTCTCAAATGCAAGGATTATTATTATTTTCACCGTCTGATGACCGGACTTTCAACTAATGTTTTGTAACCAATTGGAGGCAAACATAAGAGATCAACAGATGTAATGAGAACTTGATGCTGTAATGAGATGGCGGAAAGATGGGGGGGGGGGGGGTTTCTGGAAGAAGAGATCGAATGGGACAATGGGCCTTTTTCGTCTAAATCCCCACCCCCGATATTCTGAAAGCAACAATACCAGGCAACAATACTCAACTGCTGAGTTTCTTGGCCTCTATGTCTTACTGGCCAGGGTCGGTCCAATAGATCAGCCTACCTAACAGGTCAGTAATGGGGTTTCAGCAATGCTGGCCTGTCATGACCTTTCCTAGACAATGCTGATATGAGGTATTGGAGGTGATTACTATAAGTGCAAGTTCAAGCTAAATTCAATGGCAAACAAGCTTTGTTCTGACTCTTCACCTACTCCACTAAAGGAGAAATTCCGAAATATTCTGTCAGATGGGTTAAGAGGATTGTTCCAGGATAGTTATTGGATGTGATGTATCAAACTTAGAAATGTTCATAAAGGATGTAAAATATGGAAGTATGGAAGCAATTTTACAATTTTTCTAACATGAGCGTTGCATAAGATTTGAATGAAGAGTTTTTAAATTGTGTATTTTATTTTGATTGCTTTTTGTTTTAATCTGTTTTATATTGGTTTACAAAAAAATGAGTCCTTCTGCAGGGAAAGGGAAAATATTTGTCGTGTTCACAGTAAAATATTTTGGCGAGTATATGTAGATACAAGGTTCATTGAATGTAAGACCAGATGGTGATCGATAAATATTAAAAAGCTTTAAATATAGCAATAAACATTAAATGCAGCTTACTTTGGGGAAATCTAGGAGGATTGTCATTGACATCAGTGAGGGTTATATTTACAGTCGTTGTCCCTGATAATCCCCCCATCTGTCCACCCATGTCCTTTGCCTGGATGATCACTTGATACTGTTCTTTTGCTTCTCGGTCCATGTTTGCCAAAGCTGTTCGAATAATGCCTAGGGAAAAAAAAACAGGGGCAAAATAAAATTCAAGTTGACTACCAAGAGTATAAATAAGCAAGCAGAATGAAGCGTGCTTCCAGTATTCCGTGCAAGTTTGGTTATGTTCAGTTAAATGAGGTCTGAGGAGTCCTGTTTGCCCAGGTGCGTTTCCTTTTACATATAACAACAGCGCTTGATAACAGTTGTATTAATACCTCACTCACATTCATACAATCCAGTGAAGTGCAAGTTCAACAGAAAATACAATATTAAGGTTCAAACCTAAAAGAAACTGTGACTACAGAAACAGTTAAAAGCAACTAACGATAAAAATTTTATTCATTTCACTGCCAGGCAACTTAAAAATAGCAGACGGCAGGATTCGGTTGCTTGGCGACAAGCCTCACTTTAAAGCAAGGCCAGCTTGTTATTAAGTTGTTTCCCCAGTTTCTTTATCTTATTTCTCAGCAGGCAAAGGGCTTGAGTGAATTTGCTGACCACCTACGTAGGAGCACTTCATTCTTTTCCATGACAGTTTACAATTGTTATGACCTTGTCTGGACCTCAAGGACAAAGACATTTTTCTTATTTAAAAAATCTTATTTCAAGATTCCATTTTTCAAATTATAAAACAATAGGAATTCAATTTCCAGCAGCCAAAATCCATACTGCAGAAAACGAAAGTAACTCGCTTCTTAATTTCTTAACTGGTTCAACTTTTCTGAAACGAGATGTAATCTAAGGTTTGGTTTCTCAAGACAATTAAGATTGACATGAAACGGTGGTTCATCAGGTTGTGATTTCAGCTTCTGAGATTATTATTGGATTTTTCTGATTCCGTGAAATGAAAAGATTTTCCGATGTGAGAATGCTTTGGTTAGCGCAGTCAAGGATCTTTTGGAATACTTTGTGTTCACTCTCGTTTGTTTTAAGATGCTCACGATTGTATTGTGGCTTCTCAGAAGACAATTGTTCACGCAGAGGGTTGAGAGGATGTGGAATCCTGTTCACGCACTTTAAGACGTCTCGACGATGTGATAAGGCACTACAATAAATCAAAGCTTATTATATTGTTAAAATAATGCATCACCACAAAGACTGTGGTTATGGAATCAATTTGGATGTTTGAAAAGAAGTAAGGGTTTTGATGGATATGCAGAAAAGGTAGGGAAAATGGCACTGAAAGATCTGCTGTCCTAACTAAATGATAGAACAAGTTTGATGAGCTGCTATTACTCCTGTTCTTCTGTTACTAAAGACCTTATTTATTACTTGCAGTAGTTCCCCAAATATGTTGGCAATCTGGGAAATCCTGCATCACTCAACTGTGCCTCTCTGGAATTTCACATACATCAGTTTCGACTTTCGGATCACGACCCAGTTGCCCGCAGGAAATCGACCTGTGAGCTCCAAATTCTCTATTTGTAAATCTTTTTGTGAAGCTGGCAATATAGATCCAATCTTGTTCCTGTCATAATAATAATAATAATAATCCTTGCATTTGATATAGCGCTTTTCACGTCTTCTAGATGTCTCAAAGTGCTTCACAGAATATACTATAAAATGAATTGACCGTATATTTGTGGACGAAATGTGGCAGCCAATTGCACACAGCAGTGTTCCACAAACAGTCGTGGATTGAAAATGATCAATCTATTATTGTTTTGTTTTGGAGGGATTATTATTAGGCGTGTGGAGTAGGAAACTTGCCCAAGGTTTCACCCTGCCTGGAATTGAACCCAGGTGTCTCTCTTGCAAGGCGAGTTCCCTAACCACTGAGCTACAGGACTCCACATAACCATCAAAGCTGGGGAACGCCTACAAAGGCTCATTCACTGTTGCTGATACCTGAGCAGCATGACATAGAAGGGACCATAGGAGAATGCTATTTGAATTTGTCCATCACAATAAATGCTAACTGTAGGACAGTAGACTATAGGCAACATTGACCCCTGACCAATTCCCTCCCATGTTCAGAGACATGCTCACAATGATTTTCTCTCACATCTTCTGGTGTACTCCTATGGTTTCTGTGAAGCACATCAAGGCGTTCATCCTACATGCAAGTTTTGACTTTCGGATCACAACCCAGAGCAAATGAAAGTTGTAATGGGGCCAGGAATTAATCCCCCATAAAACAACTCTTATTCAGATAGAATGACTCAATGCAACATGTTCAGAGTTTTCTATATTCCCCAATTTTATCTTCAAAATGTAACATCAGACAAAACTATGGTAAATTCTTAACAATTTTATGGTTCTTTAAAAAAATGGCTTTCAAATTAAGACCAAGTATGAGAATTTGACAGGCTTGTTTTCAATCAGCTAACTCTACACGGGCCAAAGGATTGAACCTATTTCGTTACACGTCTACTTTCCTCATGTCTCGGTACAGTTTCACACCAGACAGTGTACAGCTATATCTCTTTTAGATGTTATTATAGGGTTGTTCCATCCAGCAGTCTGTCTGAAAACCAGCAAAAGTACTCAGAGAAATAACTGCCATCTTTTAACCTGCAGCATTAGGGAACCTGCTCTCTGCCTTACTCGAGTTGTTGCGTGCAGACAAACTGTACATCCTTGGTGCATTACAACTGTAATTGCTGGTTTAGCTCCTGTGCCACCTCAAGCTGCTGAAGGCAACACAAACCACTGTATGTTGACACGCATGGGTTACGCTAACATCAATGGGACTTGCTTCTGGCTGTCATTAAGGCAGCTGACAGTAGGTTGGTAACTGTCTGTTGTAGATGCCTCATCTGTATCACACCATTTACCACTATCATAGGGGTCACTACATTTTGTAGCCAGTGTCAGCTCCTGCAGCTAAATATCACAGGGAGAAGCTGATGTGCAACATTTATGATTTACAGCAAACATGTCAACATGATGAGTGTTTTGTTGACTTGACTTATCCTCCACATGCAGATCATACCAAACATTTATTTCTTCCCTTTGATTTAATAGCTGCTGGCATAAGACAACAGATGGGGTATGTAGAAGAAAGATTATCAGAGTGTAAAAAAATTGTATTGTTGCAATGCATTATTAGGTCAAAACTTCTATAAGCCCTTTCCAGTAATAATAATATAATAATAATAATCCTTGCATTTGATATAGCGCTTTTCAAGTTTTCTAGACGTCTCAAAGCGCTTCACAGAATATACTGTAAAGTGAATTGACTGTATATTTGTGGGCGAAGTAATTAATGTCAAGAGTAGTGACTGTTTTTGTTCACACAGGAAGGCCCCACAAACAGTCATGGAGTGAAGGATTGATTTTAACTGGATGATTATTGGTCAGACTTCAGTAGAAATTCCCTTCTACTTTTGAGTAGCTCCACTTGATTGTTAATGTCCTGATGAAGAACAGGCTGAAGACAGGAGCTCTATTTAATGTCTTATTCAAAGGACAGAAAAATAATAATCCTCATGATAATCCTTGCATTTGATATAGCTGCTTATCACGTTGTCGAGACATCTCAAAGCACTTCACAGATATACTGTAAAGTAGATTGACTGTGTATTCTGTTGGTGAAAAATGGCAGCCAGTTTGTGCACAGCAATGTCCCATGTAACGTCCCAGCAGTGTCTGAATGTTGATCATGCAACACACCCCCAGCACTGCATTGGAGTGTCGTTTTAAGACTTGGTAATTCCCAAATCCCGAAGTGGGGCTTCAACTCACAACCTTCTGACTCAGAGGCGAGAGTGCTACCACAGAACCTTCTAGAATGCAGTGCTTCCACAGTTAGCATCAATTCAGTTAATTCCAGATCCCCAGAAGTCACAGTTAGGTTGTACAGTGCTCTGGTCAGGTCACACCTGTAATGTCATGTACGGTTCTGGTGACCATGAAATAGGAGGCTAACCAGTCCCTCGCGGCAAATGCAGAGGAATGAGGATAACCTGCAGTATTAATGGAATGGAGTATGCACAGGGATTAGACAAGTTATTTGGATGTCCTGTCCGCCTGCTTTGTCAGACCATCAAAGCTTAGATGAGTTTCCAACTTCCTGCAGCTTAATGTGGATGATATTAATATTATAATAATAATAATCCTTGCAATGGAACGAGAAGACAGAAGTTTAGAGATACAAAGTGCAAATTCTGGACAGACACTTGGGAGTTTATCTTTGCCTAGAGGGTGACTAATGCCTGGAACATGTTATCAGAAAGGATGATTGAGGACAAAATGCTGGATTTGTTAAAAAAAAGCTTATTGCTGTAATTGGAGGAAAGTAAGATGGCTATTCTGAAGGGAAGAGATCAAATAGGCAAAACAGACGTCCTCATCCAAATCTTTCTTGCTTATAAACTATGAGCTTGAATTCTACCATGGGGCTGGAAATCGCATTCTTGTGACACAGAGATATGAGTGTTTCAAGTCTTCCCGATGAACAAATCAAATCCGCTGCTGTGTTTTCAAGGCATGTAGGTGCAGCATTTCTACAATAAATGTAATGATATTTCTTGAGTCATTGCTGGTCAGTTTTAATATTGGAAATGAGGGAGTGTTTACAAAGATTTCCAAAGAATGTCAGCATGGAAACAGACCAGTTGGCCCAACAGTCAGTGCCGGTGATCGAGTGAATGAGTGAATCATCCCAAAGGGATTATTGTAGCAACCATTGGCCGATATTTAATGCATTTTTGTCACATTATATTTGCAATTATATTTATTTTGGTGAAATCCTGTAGCTCAGTGGTTAGAGTACTTGACTTGCAAGTGAGAAACCTGGGTTCGATTCCTGGTGGGGCAAAACATTGGGTGAGTTTCCTTAGTCTATACACATGCCTCTGTTTACCTACCAGTAAATAGGAACCCAATTGTTAGTCGATTGGCGGAATGCTTTTCCAGGGGTAATAATTCCTTCCCCTCAAAAATAATGATAATAATTTAATCACTCAATCCACGACTGTTTGTGTTACACTTCTGTGTGCAATTGGCTGCTGCGTTTCCCCCACAAAATATACAGTCAATTCACTTCACAGTATATTCTGTGAAGCACTTTG